GCACTTGGAAAGAACCTGAAGAACATCCATAATAAGTCCATCGAGGACATGGCCGTGCTTGGAACGCAAGACTTCCAAGCGGTCAAGGACGATAAGTTTGACATTGTTGTCAGATTCTTTAACAACGAGGGTGATGAGTGTTGATGCGGCAGCTTTGACAGCGGCAGGGTTTTGCGTGAGCATGGTGAGCGTCGTCGCTGCTTCATACTTGACAGCATGAGAAGAGACGTTGAGAAGCTCGAAAATGTATCGGATGTATCTTGGCTGCAAGCGAATGAGTATACATTCAAAAGTAGAAGAAAGCACGCACCCTATGCGCAGAATCATTCTTGCAATCCGCCCTAATAACCTCAATCACACTCAGTTGCAACTGCTCATCCAACCCCGCCATTCCATCTCCAACACCCAAAATCCACTCTACAGCTTTTGGCATATCACACTGCGCCAAAAAGACAAACGCATTCCTCTTACACGTCGGATCCGTCTCTGCAGCCAAAAAGGTAGACATGAGCTCTGGAGCGTCGGGTATGAGATGCTCAAACTCTTTGTAGATCGAATACACCGCAAACACTGCGTTTTTGCGCACATATGAATGACGGTGATCTAGACATGCTCTGCATGTAGGTATGAGAGGTTCCAAGAGTTCTGCATCCTTGGCGATCTTTTGAAGAAACCTCAAAGTCGCACCGCGGATATACTCGTTTGGATGCTGGAGGTCGTTTCGGATAGCATTGACGACGAGGATCATTTCTTGCTTGAGTTTGCCTGATTCGTCGTATTTGGGACAGACTTCCCAGTAGAAATGGAGGAGTTTTTTGAGTTGCTTGTTCTTTGAAGGCATGACGAATTGGATGATGGGCATCATGAGAGCTGGTTGTGGGTTTCCGTTCATGGTCGAGACGATGATTTTGCGGAGGGTTTCGATTTTGAGGTCGTCTGAGCCTTTTTCGAGAGCCTGCCTGAGTTCCTGGGCTGATGGATACTCTGCAGCGGCCTCGAAGACGACAGTGTGGCATAATGGGTCAGAGGTCGCCATGATGGAAAGTAGAGAGCACTTGAGGTTTTTGGACGCGACGTGTCGTTGCATGTGTGAAATCATTTCCTCTTTTGTACTTTTTATCTGTTCCTTCTACGCGTCTCTCTTTTCTTCCTCCAAAAATGTCTGGCCAAACTCCTGTTTTTGTGATGAGTATGTCCATTTCTACTTCAAAAAGTCTACTAACATTCTCCAGACACGGCGCCTGAACGCCAATCAGGTCGCAAAGCCCAAATCTCCAACATCACCGCTGCAAAAGTACGTCCCCAAACACTCTACAATCTTCGCGTCTCATCCCCGTAGACCGTCGCAGACGTCATCCGCACATGTCTCGGTCCTAAATCCATGCTCAAAATGATCCTAGACCCCATGGGCGGCATCCTCCTCACCAACGACGGAAACGCCATCCTTCGAGAAATCGACGTTGCCCATCCCGCTGCTAAAAACATGATCGAGCTTTCTAGGACTCAGGATGAGGAATGTGGAGATGGGACTACGAGTGTTATTATTCTCGCGGGTGAAATCCTTGCTCAGTCGCTTTCCCAGCTCGAGAGGGATATTCATCCTGTCGTGATCATCTCTGCGTATAACAAGGCTCTCAAAGAGGCTCTGGAGATTATCAAGAGGATTTCGATTCCTATTGATACGACGAACGATGAAGAGATGCTTTCCCTCATCAAAACTTCCATCGGGACAAAGTTTGTCGTTAGATGGTCGGATCTCATGTGTAGACTCGCGCTGCAAGCTGTACGGACTGTAGCGCAGGAGTCGGAAGGAGGACACAAGACGGTGGATATTAAACGCTATGCACGCGTTGAAAAAGTTCCCGGTGGTGAGATTGAGCAGAGTAGAGTTTTGAACGGGGTCATGCTCAACAAGGATATCACTCATCCTTCCATGAGACGGAGGATCGTCAATCCCCGAATCATCCTACTCGACTGTCCACTCGAGTACAAAAAAGGAGAATCTCAGACCAACATGGAATTCTCAAAAGAAGGCGATTGGGCAAGAGCTCAGGATATCGAAGAGGAGCAGGTCAAAGCCATGGTCGAAAAGATTGCAGAATTCAAACCCGATCTCGTTATTACAGAAAAAGGCATCTCTGGTATGTCCCACCTTTCTCTCCCCACTCCCTCTCTAACCCTTTCTTTTATAGACCTCGCCCAGCACGTCTTCATCAAACACAACATCTCCGCCCTCCGCCGCGTCCGCAAAACCGACAACAACCGTATCGCCCTAGCCACAGGCGCAACCATCGTCAACCGTATCGAAGACCTCCGTCCTTCCGACATCGGGACCAAATGCGGCTTGTTCCATATCGAAAAAATCGGCGACGAGTACTTTTCCTTCCTCACCGAATGTACAGAACCCAAAGCATGCACTATACTCCTCCGTGGACCCTCTAAAGACATCCTAAACGAAATCGATAGGAATCTCGCAGACGCCATGTCCGTCGCACGAAACGTTTTCTTTGACCCGAGTCTCATACCAGGAGGAGGCGCGACAGAGATGGCCATTTCTGTTGGCTTGCAAGCGAAAGCGAGGAGTGGATCCGTGGTTGGCGTTGAAGCGTGGCCGTTTAGAGCTGTAGCAGAGGCAATGGAGATTATTCCTAGGACACTTGTGCAGAATAGTGGTGGGAATGCTATTAGAGCGTTGACGGAACTTCGAGTACGTTTCTCCTTTTCTCCTTCACTCTGCTGACTTGCTTATGCTCTGTCTCTCTCGCAGGCCAAACACGCCAACGGCGAACACTCGTATGGTATCAACGGTGAAACCGGTAAAGTCGTCGATATGAAAGAGTATGGGCTCTACGAGTCAGCTTCTGTCAAGGTCCAAACCCTGAAAACGGCAATTGAAGCTGCGAGGATGTTGCTTAGGGTAGACGATGTCGTGCAAGCTGTGAGAAAAGATCGAGAGGGAGGTGCTGGTGCTGGAGGAGGAGGGGCACCGCCAGAGGAGATGATGGAAGGTTGAGTCGAGTTTTTGCTTGCTGGATTTTGTACGTACATAGATAGAAGAAGAAGAGAAATAATCTACATACTGAAATCGCAATTGTATTCACACATACTAAAGTATCGTCGTTGGAACATGCATCTACGCTACAGAAACTTCAAGAAGAAGAAAAGGTGACAGACAGACCAAAAAAGTAGCCCGGTGACCAAGTGTTCTGTTGGTGAACCTTGTTGCAGCGCCAGGCTACCCAAAAAAGCAGCTCGAGAGTACTACGAAGAAACCGTAATTTGCATCTGGGTTATGTTTGTAACCGGATCCCATTCCTCCAGAATCTGTAAACCAGGTTCAGCTCTGGAAGTAAGCCACTGCCCCCGTTCCCATTGATCAACAAGTGTCAGATAGTATTCAGCTATAAATGTAAAAGACTCCAATCGCTTATTTTGTCCCCGAGACTTGACCATCAAGAGGATAGCCTCGGGTTCAGGAAACGGGGGATAGAGTTGACTATGAAAAGACTCGAGTTGTGGGAGAAGAGGTAATTTGCCATCTTCCAAAGTGAGACTCTGAAAGGAAGCAGTCGTCAATCCATGATAAGGATCAAGCTCGAGATGCGTGAGTTTTGGAGTCAAGGATAAAATCTCTGCAAGCTCCTGATCACAAGTGAAAGTATCGGAGTCTAGGTTCAAGTATTTGAGCGGACAACGGGACCGCAGGAGCAGATCCTGCAAACTGGTACGGTTCTCCCGTTGGTTACCGCGGGTCGATAATTCGAGCCGAGAGAGAGCTGGCAGTGTCAATCCCATGAAAGTATCCGCAATAGCAATGTCGCTTTCAAAGAAGCATTTCAGGGAACAAAGTCTGGTGTGGCAGACTGGCCTCGCATTGGCGTGTCTATTAAAATTGACAACGGCAAAATCGGCGCGTTCTAGTTTGGGACATATTGACAGATAAAAAAGCATATCCTCTGCTAGGAGAGAGCCAACACTGATGTCTACCAGATTATAAAAGGACAGTGTAAAGGATTTGTCAAAATAATTCGAGCTGAATGACTGGAGCTGAGGGGCTCTCTCCAGCAACCGAAACAGATGAGGACATGGCTCCGGTGAGGATGTATCACCCATTGTGATGCTGAAGGACTGCAGGATATTGCAATAAGTGGACATGGTTTTAAGGTGCCCTTCTATCTCCCTATCATTCAATACCTGCCAGCGAAAGTTCAGCTTGACCTTGAACCACCGGGTGTGGACATCCAAGAGCAACTTGAAGGCCTGCCAACTCCGAGATCCAAACCGATCAGGGTAAACTTCGTGTCCATACTTTGTAAGAGCAGTAAGCTTTAGACAGAGAGGAGCTGTTTTTGAACGATCAAGGTAAAACGATACTGCTTCAACCATCTCGTCACGGCCATGCATAATGTTAACGTCGAGGTTTGACCACAATTTAGGCGTGGACATGACAATTGTCCGCCAAAAACCACAAACGTGAGATAGGCGGAGAGTAGGCAGAGAGATCTTGTAGTAGGTGATATGCAGATTGCACGAGTCTTCCAGGAATATGGAAAAGATTTCTGTCCATATTTCGACAGGGATCTTTCGGACGGGAGAAATGAGAGCGTGATACTCGTCTATACGACGGGTGATGCGTTTCTTCTGTTCTTCCAATAGAGAGATGGTACTACGCAGACGGCCTATTTCCAAGTCGCACTGGTCTATCAAGGATCTAGCATCATGGATCTGCTGCTGCACTTGAGAAACTTTGGCGTCAGAAGGATAAGGTGCCCGGAATTGTGATGGATCGATAGGTAAGAGTGGGATATCGTCGTAGGCTGTTAGTATCTGGGCGCACATTTAGTAAACGGTTTGAAACCTCCGTAAGTAGGCTAGTATGTAGTCACCGTCGTGCGCGCAAACGGCAAACCCGTGTAGTTGTCACGTAGAAAAACTTTCTTCTTGGATTCAATGGATGATCCTGGATGTTAAAACCCTAATGAGGGTCACTGGAAGCTGGATGCATTAAGGGGGAATCAAACCCCTGGCGGGTCGAACTCATTCAACGGCAATGACCCAGATTACCACTACCCCATTAATGCACGAAAGAATTTTCAACTTCAAAACCATCACCTCGGATGCCTTTGCTGCAAGTAAATTCAATGCGCTCAGCTAAGCACACATACATGTACGTGTAGCCCGTTGCTGTTTTACCGGTCAACTATGATGATGATGATGTTTTTACGTGACAGATATAGGTGGTGAGGGAGGCAAAACTGCAAGAATGATTCAACAAAAAGTTCATCGCAAACACAAAAAAAATTACAATGCTACGAGCTGAATATCCCAATTGTTAATTTGCAACTCGAGCTTCAATCCATCCTCTTTCAAAGCCTGCAAACCAGCCTCAACCACAGAAGTGAACGACCTCTTCCATTCTCTGCCTTCAGGGATTTGTTCCAGATCGAGGCTGGCCGTGAACGAAAAAGACTCCAATCGCTTGTTTTTCCCTTCAAGGTCTACGGTTCTCCGAGACTTGACCATCGAGAGGATAGCCTCAGGATCAGGCAATGAAAAACTAGAGTCCACGCTAGAAGACCTCCAGTGCCTGAGTCGGATATGAAGAGATGTTAGCTGAGGGAGGAGTTTGGATGACTTGTCATCGTGATCTAATGCATCGCCATGACCATCTACCTTCGACTTTGTAAGGTTTTCGAAGAAAGTAATAGTAATGACAGGATCGGATTCGAGCTCGAGATGTATGAGTTTTGGAGCAAGGTGAAGAATATGAAGAAGCTCCGTTTCAGAAGCGAAGAAACCTGGCCCGAGATTTAATGATCCAAGTTGACAATGAGACCGCTGAAGCAAGTTCCGCAAACTGGTGTTCAGTTGCTGCGGCATGCCGGGCCACTGTCCTCCATATAAATCAGGCTTAATGAGCGCTGGCAGTGTCAGGGCCCCCAAAAATTTAACACCGTCATGCCAAGAGCCCGAAAATGTGCACGTCAGGGAAGAGAGCTTAGCACAACACATTTTTTGGGTGCCTGGCCTCTCATCATGTTCTAAATCAGCAATGGAGAATTTGGCAACCCGCAAGTTTGGACACATTGAGAGACAGTCAATTGCTTCTTCGACCGTCAAATCGGCAAGCACACTGATCTCTGCCAGTGTAGAAAAGGGTAATGTGAAGGATTTGCCAAAATAATGAAGGCCCAAGGATCGAAGTCGAGGTGCTTTCTCCAACAAGTGAAATAGATAAGGACATTCACTGCTGAAATCAAACAGGAACGGAAGTTCATCTTCATCACCAAACCTGATGCTGAATGACTGAAGAATGTCACAATGACTGGATATGGTTCCAAGATGCCTTTCGATATCCATGTCGTACATTATCTGCCAGCCAATGTTCATCTTGACCTCAAACCACCGAGTATGGGCATCCAGGAGCAACTTGAAGGTTCGCCAACTCTGAAATCCAAGCTGATCGACATTGTCTTCATACTCATCGAGAGCACTAAGCTCTAAATGGAGAGGAGACGTTTTTGAACGGTCAAGGTATAACGCTACAACCTCGACTATCTCTGATTCACCGGTATATGCAAGGTTGATGTTGAAGTTTGACCACAATTTGGGCGTAGACATGACAATCGCCCGCCAAAAACTGCATACATGCGATAGGCAGAGCGTAGGTGTTGTGACTTCATCATCCGTGATGTGCAGGCTGTAAGAATCTGCAAACACTGTTGATGAAAAAATACCTGTCCATGTCTAGACTATAGGTATTTTTCGAACAGGAGAGATGAGGGTGCGGATCTTGTCCACGTCACGCTGGTCAGCATCGCGAATCTGGCGCTGAATTTGAGAACTTTGATTTCGGAAGAGTAAAGTGCCTGGAATTGCGACATGTCGATGTGTGAGAGTGGGACGTCGTCGAAAGCTGGTCGCGGATTCAGTGAATTCCTTCAATTCGGTGAGAAGGTTTCCGTACTTGACGAGTAAAAAGTAAGGTATGGGAGAGACTGCAATTGCCACGTGAACTCAACGAGAAGACGATATGTATTTTCATTTACATAGAAGCATGCATGAATTAACATAATCAAATTTCCCAACGCACAAACATCCCCCCAGCCTCCAGCGTGTTGAGACTAGCCTGGAATTCACGATTGAATGATTCTCTCCACTGCTCAGCCGGTGGTCGCGTTCCCTGAGATGGAATGTCGGCAGAAAATTTGAAGGTATTAAGTGCGGTTCGTCCTCCAGATTTAACATAGTATCGCGATGACCTGGATGTGATCATGGAAAGCATAGACGTAGGGTCAGGAAGGACGCGTTCGCCATAGCTTTCGACGTTTATATCCATTTCAAGGGTCCTCAAATGCGGAAGAAGATCGCTCAAAACAGAGCTACCGGAAGTCGTCGAAAAAGCAAGACTTTCAATCAAGCTATCCACCCGCATGCATTCGTTGATTAGGGAAGTGTGAATCGTAAGGGAAGTGAGGGTGGGTAATAGAGTGAGTACGTGCACCAATTCCTCATCTGATGCAAAGAACTCTGCTTCTAAATTCAACTCTTGGAGCGGAGGGCGCGACCGAATCAAAAAGTCCTTCAAAGTATGACCTAGCTCAAGTTGAACATATGGACATCGACACTCAAGCCTGACAAGGGCGGGCAGAGTAAGCATTGAGAATATGGAGTTATAATTGTTGTTTTGAATGCTGTTTAGCTTTAACGACTGGAGGTGGTGATGAGTGATAGACTGGGCTTCAGCTTCATTGGCTTGACGCTTCCCTTGCCAATGTAGATCGGCACAAACTTCCTGCAAATTGGGACACTTGGCGAAGCATTCAATCGTTTCCTCGAGATTGCAAGGGCGAAAGTCAACGTGGGTCAACTGAGATAATGGCAGTATGACGTCTTGAAGGAACAAATCATTGCTTCGCAGCGTATGTAGAGCCAGTGTCTGTCCCAACCAAAAGAAAATGCGCCTTTGGAATTGGTAAGTATTAGAAGCAATGACCAGAGTATGCAGAATACTGCAGTCCAGCAATGGTTTTGCTCTAACGAGGTCTTGAAACCCGTATACGTTACCTGAGCTGATGGATAGGCTTTCCCATCGTTCACAACAGCTTAACAGACACTGCGCGGTTGCTTGGTCATAACTTCCGACAAGAAATATCTCGACAGAGAGCGGATGTGATTTTGGGCGAGAAAGGTAGAGGCAGACTCTATCTTTGAGACCGACGGTGTGTGTAGTGGGGAAAATGGACAGTCGAGACCACAACTCTGGCATAGCCAGTGTGATCTCTCGCCATATAGTGCATGTATGTGACAACGCGAGTGTAGGACAAGAGATCACGGAATCAGGAGAAATCTTCAGACCGTATGCTTCTGGTGCCAGACATAACCGGGAGAAAATTTCGATCCAAATCTCTCGAGGTACTGTGTGAATGAGGGAAAGGGAAGCATGATCTGTTCGAGTGTGGAGACTGCCTGTACTTGGGATTTTATCCGTGGCATAGTGGTTCGCGCTGGCCTGGACCATCAAGGTTTCGACTTTAGTAGAGGCTGGGACGCGTTCAGAGCGAAATTGCTCAAAAGGATCGACTGCCACAGAATGTTGGAGCTTCATTAATTTCGATGAAGAAAGTTCGGACATTTAGGTGCAAGCTTTCCAGAGAAATATGTTGGAAATATGCGTGAAGTCCAGAAAGAGTTCGTATGGAACCACGTGCTCAACGACGGTACTTTGTCTTCCTAGTCCTTGATGGCGGTTTGTCTGGTGCTTTCTCCTCTCCCAGCCATTGAAATGCACACGCTTCATCCCATAGTCCAATGCATACTGCAAGTAATCGGCGTCTCCTATAGTATGGCAGGGAAGCCGTTAGATGCAATGCCTATCTCTGGAAACTACTTAGCATTTGTGCAGTAAGGGGCCAAGGCAGCCCATCCAATGTAGAAAGTGAGTATGCGTTCGGTTACTTTTAATGTCCTAATTTCTTGTATGACTTACTGTAATAACGCTTTCAACTTTCAAGGCTTGCGTCTCCTGCCAATGGGCGCATGAAAACTGCTTTTTTCCCTTCTCAAGGCACAGGCACCCCTTTTCGCGTTCCTTCAAAGAACTTCAAAAATAACGGGTTCAGATCTATTTCTATGTGTCGATCCGACAAACGTCAGTCTACCGCAAGTAATGAGACTACGCCAGAACAAGTCCTGCGGTTGAATCAAGTCCCCTATGCTCTTACACTTAAAAGCTGGACTAACCCTTCTGGATCACTACTCAACTGTGCATCGTTCTCAGTTTAGTTCTGTTCTGCCCTCTCGTTTTTTCCTACAAAATCTACAATGTTCAAAGTCGCAGCCATCGTCCTTCTCTCCGTCCTCTCTGTCAATGCTGCTGCTACCGGCACCAGCACTGCCAGTACCTCACAGTGCACCCCAGGTTGTCTTTCCAACTGTATTCAGAAAGCCTTGCCCACGAGCGGATGCGATCCCGAGTACGTGTAAAACACTTGTTGAGTAACATGACGTACTTATTTTGTACAGGGATGTAACTTGCCTTTGCCAATCATCCAAGTTCTCCAACTCTGTCGCCTCTTGCGTTTGGTCCAACTGTCCTAGCCAAATGAACAACGGCCTCGCTTTCCAGAAACAGATGTGCAATGGTGATACAACTTGCCCCACCCAATGTTTGGAAGAGGCCGCAGATGACAGTGACTGTGACCCTACGTGCGTCTTTATTACTTACGCGAATACATGGTACTGATGAGTCTTGTTTCGTTTTGACTACAGGGATGTCAAATGTCTCTGCAACGACACGAATTTCAAGAATGAAGGTTATGCTTGCATTAACAGCAACTGCCCGAGTCAATACCAGAAGGCCCAAACCTTCCAGAAGACGATGTGTGGTGGGTCCTTTTCTTGGTTAGTATTTATGCTTTGTAGGCTGATGCGATCGATGTCTAGGTTGCTAAACGATTGTCTTCCGTTCTTGGGTTTGGAGACTACGCGGAATTGTACTGATATTGATGATATGGCTCGGTTTCAATTGGGATTAGGGTATACCTTGTGTAGTATTACTGAATGTTTTGAATGGGAGTGC